TGTGGGTGTAAAGTAACAAAGTAGAAACGTGTAGGAGAAATATTACATCTTGTTTACATTACTCTTCCCTCTGACACATACTTAACTCACACACTTTAAAAGGCATGTGAAAAAATTCTAGTTTACACAACTCAAGATGAATGTATAGAGGACTGAATTTGTTTTAAAACCCACAATTTAACCTATTCCTTTTTTCTTCAGTTACTATTTTGAATTCAAACTTGTACTGTCACCTTAGGCACTGAATATCATACACTATTTGACTGCTGGCTAAAGGTCTTTCTGCCTTTCACATTATGTGAAGGACCGAACACAGATGAAGTGAGCAGAGAAGCAAAAGTTTTCTAATCGATCTTCAGGAACCCTCAGTTTTGGCAGCTGGCCCAACAGGGAAGGACAAAAGGAAGAAAAAGAAAGCTGGGAGAAAGGAAGGGAAAAAAAAAAGAGCATGGAACTGAAATAACAGATTTAATAAAGTTTCCAAACAGTTGTGTGACTTAACGTCTTGCAGAAGATAATCATAACTAATCATAAAATAACAAACCTTTTTTGATTCCAAATTGCATCAAGAAACAAAAATAAGTTTATACTTTTACTTTACAAGTTTATATTTTATAACCTTCAAGTATTCTGCCAGTGCTTTGCCTAGTACTCTGGCTTTTGCTCAAAGAAGAGGACAGCAATTAAACAGGGTTTGGGTGTTTATTTTTTTTGTGCACAGTAAATCTTCTTGCATTAAAAGTAACCTCTATTGAGATCTGTTTTCAGACCAAACTCTTTTGGAAGGCAGTCTTCATTCTGAACTTCTCAATAGCTTTTAAAACTAGATGAATACTACATTTTAGCCAAGATAAAGAATTCCTTTTGCTAAATATTAGATGAGGTAACTTTTTGGTGTATCACATGCTCAAAGACCTAACTGTTCTAGAGTGTTCCAATAAGCATTTATTCCAATGTCCACAGGTAAAGTCTTGACTACACTGGAATCAATATTAAAGCTCCTACTGACTTGAATATGAAAGGAGTTCCATCTATACTAAATACATAAACCTGCTTGAATTATTTTATGATGTACTGATCTGCTTTCTTTATCCTGAAATAGATAGGATTATTGGTACATTGCATATTCATAAAACAAATACACATTCCAGTTATTAAAAATTAACAAAGAGTTCTGGAATATGACAATCAGTAGTTAAACTTCTTAGAAGCAACATCCTTCTTTTCTCTTATGGATAAAACAAATGTCAAGCTTGTCCTTTTGATATTTCTTTTCTCATTTGTTCTTGTCTCAGGCTTTTTTCCTAATAAAATTATTATACAGTAAGCAATTATCACATAACATACAGACTCTAGTCAAGGATTGCTCCCTATCTCTGTCACCTAGTTTGAGTGACCTGAGTCATCTCAGACAAAAAAGGCATCACTTACGGAAAGAAAATTCTGGCCTCTTCCCCCAATCAATATTATTCAGATATTTAACAAATTAATCCATAATCATGAGTTGTTCTGGAGGTGTGCAGATAAAGAGAGGCAAGGATATAAAATTTCCAGCAGAAAGTGTTGTGGAAGTTTCACAAGCACTATATTATATTTAATTCCAGTAAGATCTTTTTGTGGGTGCACTGCCATACAGAAATGTAAAGGTATTAATAACTAAGATCATACATGTTTACAAGATTGCAGATGGGATATAAAAGTCTCCTTGCTACATGCAGGCAGAATAAAACAGTGAGAAGCTAATCTGATTCTACATCTATAGTTTGTATGCAAGAAGAAAACACATCCTGCTGCTAGTGACGCACAAATTTTAATTTAAATAAAGGAATATACTTCAAGAGAAGAATGATCCTTAGTTTCTATTTTTGATTAGTCATATATGGTTTAGATCATCATGGCTGGGCTTCGCGAACGAAGATTTGGGAAAGGTCTCTACCCACGTTTGTTACAAGTGCGCTGGTGGCTAAAAAGGCCAATACGAGACAGGCACGTCCAGTTGCAAAAGGCACAGCAGAAAGACTCCTTAGGTGGTAAACAGCTAGGCATTTGACCCTCATCTATGTCATTACTGTAGTAGATACAGTAGAAGAATCATTCTAAGTGCACCAGTCAGGATGAATAAGATAGAACTTAAAATACCTGTGTGCACAGCAAAAGAACAGTTGTTAAACCCCCATTTTTCTTAATTTAAATGTTTTATTCATTTACACTTGCAGTATGGTCTCTGAATGCCAAACTAGTATCTGAAAGTGTGGTGACAAAAACAAAGCCATAACAAAATGGAGGGAGAAAGAGTGGAGAGAAGAGATAGGAGGGGAAAATGAAAAAAACAAAGGAAAAATCCACTATTCTGAGTGGATCACTCCCTCTACCACTGCAAGGACTGGCAGACAGTAAACAGCTCCATGATCAATAGTATCCAGGGCAGACAACAGTTATCATCAGCCTAAAAACTTGACCTTCACTCATCAACAGCATGAGGCCATCACGACTTTCTCATCTTTCTACAAAAAGACCTCTCTTGACATTTTTCTTTTCAGCTATATTTTCTCTTCTCCTATTTTCTCTTCCCCTGTGGAAGGGGGAAGTGTTTTACATAATGACCACTCACGAGTTCCTCCATACAAAATGATGTCAATAGATATTGAAAATTGTTAAAGCTGAAACAAAGCCTAACAGTATACAGTGATGGATTCATTTTCCAGGTGCATCTTGTGGAAGGCCAGAACATCAGGTTCAGTGTTCTTTGCTAATAAACAGACAAAATGAGTAGTCCTGAATGATAAGAAAGCTCAGGAAGAGAAAGGCTTCTGAAAGCTACTTACCCAGGTTTTAAAAAGCACGTGATTAAAATGGTGTGGGATAGAAGGAATTGCAAGTCTCCTTGGAAAAGTACAACTTGCTATACATGAAAAATGTCAGTAGAAAAGATGTGCAGTAAGATTTAAGAGAGAAACCAGGAAACAAACACAAACAGTAAGTCAGGAAATCAGGAAAAGGTTTTCTCAGCTGGAAATATTTATACTTAGTAAGAGATAAAAAAGTTATTTATTTACTTTATAAAGAAAAAAATGTATTTCTAAAATCTCATGTGTTTGGGAAGTTTGGGTGAAGAAATATTAGTATTTTCAAATACGTAATCTTTCCAATTTTGCTACTTAAAATAGTTGTTTGTTTTTTCCCCTGGGAACTAATTTAGAAAAACTTTGAAAAAATATTACTTAATTCTTAGATGCAAACAAACATCAACAGAAAGTAAAATTAAAAATAATATCTATGGCAACAACAGAAACTCAAGTGAATGTAAAAACCATCACATACGAATGCTCAATCCCAGCACTTCCAATTTGTTTTCAATTTTATTACGACAGCATTTAGAAGCTACATCCAAAATTAGCTTTGTTAGTACTAAAGACCACACACATGCCCACACAATATCAGTCAGTCTGTCTTGAAAAGCTGTACATACCAGCCAAGGTAGAAAGGGACAAGGAAACAGAGCGGTATTACCCTGATTTTCCAGGCTGTGCATGGCACAGAGTGGTTACAAGTGCAAGTAGATAACTTTAAGAAAACAATGAAATTAACCCGGATCTCCTTTCATCTCAGTTAAAAGCATTCGTTTCAATGCCATATCTTCAAACCTACTCATATGTCATTTTCTAATACTAGCTATTGCTCCCCATATGCTTTTAAATGCATGTGATTCACGTCCTTTACAGAAAAAATTCTTTAAAATCTGACCCATTTGAAATTTTCAATTCTTGGTCTTAAGTCAAATGTTGCTGAAAAGCAAGGCTTAATTTTATTTTGCCCCTTTTCTTTATGATTCCTTCAGTTTATACTGTGCAGCACCCGTTAAGAGCAGATACTAGTAAACATTTGGGAAAAAGATTATCCATGGTCCTTGAGGAATTTAGTCTGAATAAATAGACTCTATGGATACGGTATGTGTTAAACAGCTCTCTCTCATATTAGGTATTATTCAGAATGAAAAAATAACCCCAGCCTGATCATGTTTCAAGAGCTGGGAAAAAAAAAAAAAAAAGATAAAACTGCTACCCTAATCTTTAGAAATACAAACCCTGAAATGTTTTAGTTTGATTTTTCCATTGTTTTGCTACTTGCATGGATTTTATTTTTTTAATTCCTCACACAGTAGAGTATGTTATAAATATAACAATTCAAATACTTATGAAGATCATCAGTCATATTCTAAGTTCTGAAAAGAAAGTGTTGCTCAAGACCATTTTGAAAAGCATTACTTCTAACATTTTTAGTCGGAAAATTACAGCAATGAAGTAATGTAAGAGGGGACATAAAAGAAAACCAAAGATTTAAGGATTTGTGCACTACAATTGAAGGTGTGAGTGTAGCACATGTAGGGCTACTTTTAACTACTGAGCAAGAGTGTCTATAAAAATGAAGCCCATGTGTTATTCAGTTCATTGTCAAAAATGCAGAGGCTCCTAAGCAAACTACAAAGTTTGTGCCAAACTCTTAGTACAGAAGTGACATTACTACTGGAAACTCCAAAAGCCAGCTTAAAGCTGCCTCAGGCTTGCATCACATATACAGAATATGTATCTCCAGCATATCCTTATGTTAAAAAGGTAAGAGAAACAAATAAAGTACTATAAAGAAATTATTTAGCATCTCTTCATGTATTTTCTGAACTGGACTACACAATACTTACAAAAAAACATTACATCTTTAACATACACTAAAGGAAAAAATATTTTAGCTTCTGTTAGCCTGCTAAAACAAAGCTTTTGCAATAATAGAATGTCTTCATCTCATTAATATTTGATTGCTAGAAGATGATTTTGCAGAAAGTGGTCATGCAATATCAATACAGATTTGCAGACATGAATGCGATGCAACTGCTATTGAACTGGAAGACCTTCAGGCAGACAGAGCTCAGTACAAAATCAAACTTGAAACATTCATTTCTAGTATCTTTGCATGGAAGGTTAAATCATGCAACACTAGAAAAGTACCCTTCCATAACAGGATTTGCATGTCTAGAAGCAATTCAGAAAGGAAGTACGAGTCCAGCTACAGCAGACAGTCTGTCTTTCTGCAAGGAGAAAATGAGAGAGTTTTGTACAATATGATAGCACCATATGTAGGAATAATACTTTTTACTTTTTACAACTCTATTAACATGCATCTCTGGTCCTCCAGGCTACTGAACTCATGTACGCATGAAGACCAAGGTTATTTTTTACAGAGAGTCCACAATGACAAGCATTTGATATTTAGACTAACTGATGAGAATTTTCTTAGAATTGGATAAATTTTCTAGCTTCAGCAAGACAACTCTTGCCATTTTCTCTAAATAAGTAAAATACTTGCCATTTTCAGGTAATTGCAAGTGGTATAAGCCTAATGGATCATTCAGCCTTTACTCTTCAGGAAAGTCAGATGAGCAATAACCTCACATTTGCAAACAATTTATCGTCATTTTACTCTGCCCTTTACATTTTTCCTAAGATCATAAATGCACAATAAAGCATCCATAGGAGACCTGTATGCCACCAGCTAGTGTATTGTACATGCTATTTTATGTAAAATCACTTCCAAAAGACCCTTTTGCTAATCTAGTATAGCAGGTGTCTCTGAGAAGGACTAACAGCAAGGCCCAAACACCAACATAGTCACAATTTATGCCACTGAAAAGATCATATGCTGTGGCATTGATTTCAGAAACCTATTGGTATACTGATTTGGGCTTCATTCCCCAGAGTTGCCATTGTTCACCTTATTTCACATGCTAACTCATAATTTTAGTTATTCACATATAATTTATCACTTCTTTCACACATGAAGCTCAAGTTTCTATCACTAGATCATCTAATATTTTTCCTATCTTTAATATAAAATCTTCTTACAGAGTTATGTTTAATGCAAGATCAAAAAGCCTTATATAGGCTGAAGAAAGCTTCACAGTTGTAAAATGAAAAGTGACATTTGAAACTCCAGTCATGCCAGTATCTCTAGTTTCAGAGAAGTTTCCCAGTTGTCAACTTTTTAAAACTATATAAGTTTTTAAAACTATATAAGTTTTAAAACTTCAAAACTTTTAAAACTGTCTGTGGTCTTCTCAAGAGTCTTTGGCAATGCTGTACACAGATATATTCTTTTAACATTATGTGCTCAATCAGCATTGCATCAAAAGCTACTGTTCAGTTTGAAATCCAGCATGAGAGGTATGCTGCTTTCCACAACAGTCTTATCCTCAGTGTTATTCAGGATCAGTATGCAGCCAGAACTGTCACTTTACCTTTTTTAAAACTTTAACCCTTGCCAAACCATCTATACCAGTCTTTGGTATTCTTCAAATTCTTTGGAAAACACAGGTAGGCATATGGGAGGGTTAAGGGAAAACAGTGGTTAAAATGCATTTTGCACAATGTCTCTGCAGTTACGGAGAACATGAAAGCAGTATAAATGGAAATCAAACCCTTAGTAGGGAAGCTTGAAGACTGGCTTCAGTTTAGACAACATGGCTTTGGTTCAAGAGTCAATGGCAGAACAAATAGTGATGCACCTGAGTAGTGCTCTCTTCCCCAGTATGGGTATTGGAAGTTCATCTGTCCACTAATAAATACAAGCTACTTCCCTGATAATTTATCCTAGGTCAACAGTAAGCTAGGTCAGGATACTCGATGAAAAACACTTTCCAGTCTCTTCACTCGCTTTTTTGAAGGGGTTTTGGATGCCAGTTATGTTTGAGTCTATATTCTTGTTTGAACTCATTGAGGTGGAAGGTAGAACTATAAATTTCACAGGCACGGAACCACACTTCTTAACTGCAGTTTGAACAACTTGAATTCAAACTTCACATCACATCACATGAGTCTCAAGGCAGAAAAAGAAATTGCATAATTATATATTTTAAAATTGAAGAAAACTATAGCAATTTCAATGAAATGAAACACTGACTTATATTAAGGCACTGCATTTTTCCAGGGCATAGCAGCAAGTTACAATAGGGAAGAGAACAGCTTTTATAAAAAATGACATTTTGATGCACACTCCATTTATAATTTTATGCCTAAAAATTCCAATGTGTCCCCAAAAGAAGGCATTTATTAACTAGTTTCAGCACTAGTAGGTGAAGCCAGTAATCCAATTGTAAAAAAACAAGATAGGAATATCAAGCCCTCATGACCTCGTGCAAATTAGAATGAACAAAACAATTAATACATGCATAATCTAATCCAGCACCACTATTAATGGGGCGTTTGAGTCAGTTGGTGATAAACAGTCTACAATCACTAAACATACATATCTCGCACATGATGGCTGAAGAAGAAAGCAAATATTTTTCATATCTAATCAGTTCTCCTTTGCAGAATTTTAGCAATATCAGTGTCTACAAACTTTGATGGTCCATAATTTTGTTTACTTAATCCACCAAAGAACTGCATGAAAAAATTCTGTACATGTAGAATGTCTAAAACAAATCTGAAATTTGTTAATTCAGTGTTTACCGAAATTTCTAGCTGTGTTAATCTTATCTTTTTATTTCTAGACACCTTAGCTGAAGTCTATTTTATGAGAATCTTGCACTATTTAAAAAGAAAAAAAAATAAATAGAAAGGTCCAAAGTGCCATGGCAGCTGTTCTGTTTGAAACTGGAAGTTTAAAGTTAAGATTATAATATGCCACAGGTAAAGTATTATCTGCACATCAAAGCATCACTGCTGTAAAGAAATATGAAGCACTGGATGCCAAATGTTGACTACCTCCACTCTGAAGCTGAATAAGACAGCCAAGATTGCTGAGTGAAAATAACCAAGAACATGTTCAGGATTTGTGGGGAGTGGGGTGGTCTTGTTGTTTCTATTGTTGCTTGTTCGTTGTTTTTATAGAGCATATTAACATGTTTAAAATTTTTCAGGAACTAAATACAGCAAATAGTCTCTTGGCCTTCTGTAAAAGCAGATAAGTTACATGATCACCTTGGTAAATTTATCTCAATTTAAATTTACACAATTTGGATTTGTAGTCTCAGAATTATGAAGTTAGCTTCTGAGAACATTATTCTTGCAGAAGATTATTTTAAAACATGGGCATTATATGCAATTTTTATTAGGGCGCACAAAAAAAAATCAAGTAAGGTTCAGAGAATTTTTTTAAATCCAGAGATTTCTTTAGTTCGTTTTGAGTCAGGTGTAGGTCTTCAGCAAGCCTTAGGGCTGGAGAGGGTGAAGAACAGAAAGGGGAGGAGGATTGGTATTTTATGGTACTACCTATTTACATAGAACCAAATGTTACTGAAACAGTCGATTTCACCACAAGTGTAATAGGTCTTCTCCAATGAGGAAAGTTTTCAAAATAACCTTTAAGTTGAGGTGTTACTGTTCAAAGAAGAAAGGCTGGACCATGAGTGATAAAAAACCCCCATATTTCACTTTTAGACATGTCTTCTCTTCTACAGGTTGTAAATACAGACTTGCTAACAGACATACTTTCCTTCATATGTTCATACTTTATTCTGGTTTCATATTCATTATTTTACATATTTTAGAGAGAACATTATTTTAGAGATAACTAAAGTTCACTATCTATTAAAAGTAATTAGACTCATTTTTTTAGACTATTAGAAGGATACGCATAATGATACACAAAGAGCTGATGCTTGTAAATATTATTAATCTTGACAAAGTAGAATAACATCCCTATGTACAGAACTTTCACCTAAACTATTTAAACATTCTTGGATAAAGAATAGGAGGCATTATAAGCTGTATTGCTGCAAAGACAAACTATGTGCATTCATATACAGGCATTTATTGAAGAACTGGTAAAAAAAATAAGTTCTTCCATCACTTAAGAATATTTGTTCCTTCACGGTTCAGCAGAAGTAGTTCTGTGATCAGTGAAATCTTTTCAGATTTCACTCTGTGATTCAAAAAAAAAAGAAATTTCTTGGAATAGGATCTCATCCTAATCTTTTCAGCTTTTATGGTACGTCTAATTACAGCTAAGTGCACTTGTGGAAGTAACATCAAGATCCAGGGAGTTCACAGGACAAGTGAAAGTGAGAAAGTTATTAAAAATAAGAACAATAAAATAAGTCATCATCTCGTTCTGAAATTGGCCAAATTTGATGAAGGTTAAAGTGATTCCACACTCTCAGCTCACAGGAATGCAGATTTGCTTCTGGAAGATTCTTGTTGTACCAAATTGGAAGAAGAGAGCAGAAACCGTTTCTGCTGTCTTTGAAGACCAGCTGCAGGCCTAAAACTAATAAAGATGAAAGTTTTTGTGCCCACTTCAGAAGAGATAGATGTGAAATACAACAAATATCAGGACATACATGAAATCAACAATGCTAACAGCTGTGTTAAAATGAGTCCATATCATTAGAATTGTTACAAGCAGAAAAAACAATTAAGGGTAGAAATTAAAAATGTGCCAGATTCAGAATGGCACATTCCCTAGGACTTTTCAAATTGCAACCCAAGGATGTCCTCAGATCAGAACTATCCAGTCTTGGTGTGGAACCATAAAAAACATGCTCCAGTTCAGCAGGGACTTTGAGGGATGTTAAACAGACTTTAAGAGTGACAAAAAGAATGGGGAAAAATCTCACTGCCAGCAGTTAAAGTGATTCCATACATCAGAAGCAAAGAAAGTATCCCACTCTCCTCCCACAAGTTGTATTTCCCACTTGATCCACTATTCCACCATGGTTCAGCTGAAGATCTGAGAATCCCCACAGTGTGGCCTTTCTCTGGGGGTGAGGGAGGGGAGGCCAACCCCAGGACAGTACTGCTCATGTTGCTTTCCTGTGCCCTTAGAGTCAAGCCTGGCACCATCTGCACTCTATGGGACTTCTGGCTTTAAAGTAGTTCCCATCTCTTAGCAATACCATCTATGCACACCATCAGGGTTCCACTAACATTCTGGTCAATATCCTCCTTTTCATATATTGGTAAAAAGAAATTTCTTTGAGTTTGCTGATTGGAGTAAAGAGAGCCCCCCATTGATACAGGTATTCATTCTCCCAAGCTCAGAGTGCATCATCTATTCTGGGTAAA